CAGCAGGTGAGCTCCCAGCCCGGATGGTGGGACCGGGCCTGGGCTCCCACCGCCACCTCCACCTCTTCAGCCAGAGCCCTCTGGCCCCGGCCTGGCCCGGGGTAGGGGACTCCCAGGGAACAAGTCTGTTTTCCGGCTGGGACGGGAAGCTCCCCCCACAACAGGCAGCTTCAGCCCCTCGGATTGCAGTTTACAAGGACCTCAGCGGCACTTTGACGTTGCCTTCTCTTTCCCAGGTGGGGACATTGGGGGACCCGGTTCCTTGGAACTGGAGGACTTGTATGAAGGGGAACCCTTTTGGGCCAGAACACGGTGTTTCCCATTGGGGAGTTATTAGAGTTTGAATAGACTTCCTAGGTTCAATCCCCCTTGGAGAGGATGACAGTGAGTTCTGGGTGGTAGGGGCGGAGGATGAGGTGAAGGGGGTGTGAACCATCTTTATGTAAACTTGCCTGAAAGTGGTGGAAAGACCTGGGGTGAGAAGCCCTTCTCATCCCATGCCGGTTCTGCTGAATACTTAGGCTGGACATTTGACAAAGCCTTTTTTTTTTTTTAAACACCTCTAGCCCCTTTTGCTAAAGGTGAGTCAGGAAAAGGATACTTATTTTGGTCACCACCTTGCCATGGTTGTGTACCAGAGTGGCACTGACCCTGGTTGTATGCTCTCAGGGTCATGATCTCAAGCATCAGAGGCCTTTGGTAGGCTGTTTGGAATAGATAAGTACCCCTGGGGTGTCAGTTTCTCATCCTAAAGCAGCTCAGACATTTAAACACAGTATGCAAAAAGGCCAGCATAGGTCAGGAGACACCAGTTGTAGGAAATCAACAAATCTCTATACTAACCACTGTTAGAGCAGGTCTTCTGGCTTGAAATGTTACCAATTCCTTTTAAAAAATGAACTTTACTGTCTCATAAAGGATGGTGGAGATGTTAATTTGTCACACCATTACTGGATGGAATCAAATTTGCTGCTGTTTCCTTTTGGAGAAAAGAGAAGGGACAGAGAAATACACTTGGCTAAAAAGAAAAGGGATCTGTTATGTCCCTTAACATAATAGTGCATGCTCAATAAATGTTAGTGTCTCCTGAATTCAGGAAAACCCTTTATATACTGACAATTTTAAGGTAGATTGAAGGAAAATCCAAGTTCTACTTGAGTACATTTTTGAGTTGGCAACATCCTCCCAGACCTTTATCTTCAAAGGGAACAGAAAAATAAAGTTCTTAGCGAGTGGATCTCCCGTAGGTAAGAAAACAAAAAACACATCTAGAACCAGAAAAATCTTTAGAAATATTTAAAGACTGGCCTTTAGAAACTATTTTCCTACCAGCCTGGTATACTTCCTCTGAGATGGCATAAGTAGCTCAGGGCTCTGAAAGAACAGCTCCCCTGTGTCAGAAAACAGGTTTTTAGGGCCAAGAGACTGTCTTGCTAATTAAAAATAGTGAAAGCCGAAGTTCCTTAAGAGGAGCAGTATATGTTCTCAAACTATAAGTATATCAGAATCCCAAGGGTTTACTTAAGCACAGGTTGCAGGGCCTTACCCCCAGAGTTTGAGTTAGAAAGGTGCTAGTCTCGGGATCATATTTTGAGAACCACAAGTATAAGTACATGGGATTCAGAGTCCCACATACTGGGTAAGATGGGGCCTTTCTGAGCTTCTAATCACAAAGTCTCATCTTGAAGCGCCAGCAGCCTCTGCAACCTCAGAGGTGTCTTTAGCAGTTATCAACACAGCACAGATCCTAATGGTGAACTGGGATACTCCATTTAGGGCAAATCTACAGAGGTGGGCAAAAGTTAGTTTACAGTTGTGAATACACAAGTTTATTCTTGTATTACTTATTAACTATTGTATATTTATTATTATTGCCCACCTCTGTATTCCTCATCGGTAAAATGGGTTAAAATCTACCTTCAAAGACTTGTGATAAGGTTTAATAAAGTGTTAGTACACATGGCACTTGACAGATTCAAGACTTGTTACCATCCCTTACTACTCTTTAGAGATACTAATACCCTAACATCTATTGGACTGTTTATGGGGACTAGAGTAAGTTAAAGTCAATGTGAAAAAGATGTGAATTTGAATGGCCATGCCCTCACCAAAACCATGCTAGGGAAATTCCATGTTCTGATTCCTTTCCTTTAGACTATCAATGGCAGGATACCAGCTCTGGTCACCATGGACCCCACTGGATGAGAGCTTCCAATGGCTGCGGCACACAACACCTACACCTTCTTCCAAGCACCCCTTTAGGGCTTCCCCCTGCTTCCCACACACTCCTTCTGACCTTGAAGTGCAGCTGTGCTTTCAAGAGGTCACTCTAGTCCTAGATAGCCCATTCCTGGAAACTGGGGTGAGTCCCAAGTTACCCTGCCACACATCAGAGCTCCGAACCATAAACAACAAGAAAGGGCTGGTCAGGAAGCCCCAGCCTGTCCGCCTCAATGGAGTGGATTCGGTCTTTGGCAGGGTCATCACGGCTCAGCCTCCAAAGTGGACTGGGACCTTCAGAGTTTCAGACAAGTCAGCCTTTTGCAAAATCATCAGCCGGGAGCACCAGTGGCCCACTGGACTTAAGGAACCTCAGATTCAGATGACAGTGACCATGTGCAAACAGATGCTGCGCTCTATTCTCTTGCTGTATGCAACGTACAAGAAGTGTACCTTTGCCTTGCAACACTCCAAGTAAAGGGCCCCCCACCTGATTCCTGTTCCTCACACCATTTCCTTTGCTATGTGCCTGAAGCTTGCAGAAACCTATCCATGTAAAGGAAACTGACATTGCCCCAACCATCTTGCTTTTCTGTAAAGCAGTGAAAATTCAGGAGCCTCTTTCCTCCCTTCCCCTCCAAAAAAGGGCCAGTGACAGAGCAAGGAAGAACAATTTCCACTGAAATGTTGAACAACCATTTAAAAGAGAGTCAAATTAGCATTGACATGTACATGTGATAAAGAACCATTAAACAAACCATATAAATAAGCCTAGTGTGAACTCACTTAAAACATCCATAATGAACTGGGGAAACAAAGGTGTATCAAGGAAGGAGACGTCAATTTCGATATACCTGAGGATGAAGGGGTCAAAAATCTATACGTAGGTTAAGGATTAATTTTAAAAACAAAAAACAAAAAAACCTCTACTTGAAAAAACAAACAAACATCTAACCAGCCACCTCCTAATACCACTAGAGAATACCAAAGTGTGTAGAAATATTAACAAATATTATAAGAAAGTACCAAAAAATGTTAACAAGTATTAAACAATATTTATAGCTCAGCAAGAACTTGGTAGCAGCACTGAAACTGGGCTTTCTGACCAAAGACGTGAGACTTTCCATTTTAGCTCAAGTGTACTCCTAATGTTCTATTTCTAAGAAACTATAAGTAATTAGGTACATAGTTATAACTTGATTATAGGTATAACTCAGAATAATGTGGAAATAACTATTACCTATACAAATTCAACATGAGAGTTTGATGGTGCCTTTTCCCCCTTTGTCTTACATCTACACGATGACCAAATGTTTTTTTAAAGCAGCCAAAATATTCATTTTTAACCTTATTTGGGCACTGACAAGAAATTTATCACTCTTCTAAAAAGAACACAAAAACCTTCTTATTGCAAAGAAAGATAATTCTTACAATAGAAAACATGATTTACACTGGTAGAACTAATGTTGGCACCGGTCTTCATTATTTTTCTGCTGAAAACCCAATTCAATTTCATCTAATCCCTGACTACGTAAAGGAAATCCAGAAAGGAAAGAAGTAGCTGAAGCAGAACTTAAAACAATTTATTTGTAAAACTGGTACAAACATAAATTATAAAATAAATTCAAAACTAGCTCCCAAAGTCCAGAATCATGACTACTCCGCAGTACAGCACTGAATGCTACACTGGAATCCTGAGCCAGGGCCTTTAATGTTAGAGGATCTATAAAATTCACTATTAAGTTGAATCAATAAAGCCCCCACTTTAAGGACAAAATAGGATGCTTCTAGTGAGAAAGGTAGACAGATTTCAAATCCTGAACACAAAATGCTAAGAGGCTGGCAGAGATAAGGAGGTGTCCATCTTTTTGTGGTCTAATCAGTGTAGTCGTCGTCGTCACTCTCATCACTATCTTGCTCCTTTTCTCTATCACTTGCTTCATCTTCTTCACCATCCTAAGGGCAAAGGATAATTAAATACTTTAGGTCATCTGAGTGAGCCTGTATAATACTGCTCTCACAGGACTTAAAACTATACTGTATCAATGTTACCAAAATTAATTATTTTTAAATCATTCATCTGAAAAATGAGTTTTTTATCACGACCTCTAACCCAAGACTATGGAGGGAGGCCATTTGAAACTGATTAATGCCACTCGGCAACAACCAAATTTGCGTAATTTAAAAATAAACCATGGTCCTTCTATTCTACTGCATGTATGTGACACAGGAACATAGTGGATATTTAATATAGAATGAAATGTTTGTTAAAATTAAAAATTCTGGCCCAGCTGGTGTGGCTCAGTGGTTGGATGTCGACCTATGAACCAGGAGGTCATGGTTCAATTCCCGGTCAGGGCACATGCTTGGGATGCAGGCTCGATCCCTAGTGGGGGGCCTGAAGGAGGTACCTGATCAATGATTCTCTCTCATCTTTGATGTTTGTTTCTCTCTCTACTTCGCCCATCCTCTCTGAAATATGTTAAAAAACCCGAACAAAAAAAATTTAAAAATTCTGGCCCTGGCCAGTTTAGGTCAGTGGTTAGATAGTATCAGCCCACAGACCGCAGGCTAGAGAGTTCAATTCCTGGCCAAGGGTATGTACCTTGGTTGTAGGCTCAATCACTGGCCCCAGTTAGGACATGTGTGGGAGGGAACCAGTCGATGTGTGTCTCTCACATCCATTTTTTTCTCTCTCTCTCCCCCTCCTTCCTCCCTTTCATGCTCTAAAAAAACCATTGGAGCTCTAACTGGTTTGGCTCAGTGGATAGAGCGTCAACCTGCGGACTAAAAGGTCCCAAGTATCATTCCAGTCAGGGGCATGTGCACAGGTTGTGGGCTCAATCTCCTGTGAGGGGCATACAGGAGGCAGCCCATCAATTATTCTCTCTCATCATTGATGTTTCTATCTCTCTTCCTCTCCCTTCCTCTCTGAAATCAATAAAAATGTTTTTTTTTTAAAAATATATATATATTCCCGATGAACCCTTGGCCCGCACCAGGGAGTTGCTGTCATTTCTAAAAAAAAAAGAAAAGAAAAAAAATTTGTAAATTAAAAATCTGGTGTACTTCAGCAGTAATCAAGCATCAAATTTTCTCTGGCCTGTAACTCTAATCTGGGATGGATTTTAGGAGAAATAGGATACTGCCTGTCTCAAATTTTTTTTTTATGAGAAAAAGGTAGAGAGGTATACTATACAGAAGACCATATAATAAAATTTTTTACACTCGATGACCTTTCTGCAGCAGCCTCAAATTGCATTATAGAGATTCCACAGCAAGGGTTCTTAAATCTGAGTTTTTTGGTGTCTATAACTCAGCTGAATTGTACCCAAACTTTATAAACATACTAGAGGCCCAGTGCACAGATTTGTGCACCAGTGGGGTCCCTCAGCCTGGCTGGGGATTAGTGGACCTCCGTGCTGCCACAGCCCGGCCTTACCCGCCAGCTTGTAGGGCTCCAGCCTGCTGTTCGCATTGATCCCATACAGCACAAAATAGTGTGGTAAACAGCAGGCAGCCTGGGAGGAGCCGGAGCCCGGGCTGGGCGCTGCGCCACTCCCCACTCATCCTTGCCCCACTGCGCCTGCTGCCGCTGCCACTTGGGCATGCAGGGGGAGTGTCTGAGGGAGAGGCTCATAGCTGCACTCCCAGCCATCAGCCCAGTGGCTGGCACCCATCTGTCAGCTGAGCAGCGCTCCCGCTGTGGGAGCGTACTGACTACCAGGGGTCAACTCCTACATTGAGCGTCAGGCCTCTGGTGGTCAGTGCACGTCATAGCTACTGGCCAGTTGCTTACGCTTTTAGATATATAGTCTAGAGATCTGGTGCACAAAATTCGTGCACTTGCGGGGGGGGGGGGGAACTCTCAGCCTGGCCTGTGCCTTCTTGCAGTCTGGGAGCCCTCGGGGATGTCCGACTGACAGTTTTGGCCACTGCCACTGCGCTCACCAGCCATGAGCCCGGCTTCTGGCTGAGAGGTGCTACCACCACGGGGCAGCTCCTGCATTGAGCGTCTGCCCCCTGGTGGTCCGTGTGTATCATAGCAATCAGTCATTCTGCCGTTTGGTCGATTTGCATATTAGCCTTCTATTATATAGGATACCTTTTTCTCTAGCTTTCTTTAAAGTTTTAAAAAAAAATATTGCCAAAACCGGTTTGGCTCAGTGGATAGAGCGTCAGCCTGCGGACTGAAAGGTCCCAGGTTCGATTCCGGTCAAGGGCATGTACCTGGGTTGCGGGCACATCTCCAGTGAGAGATGTGCAGGAGGCAGCTGGTCGATGTTTCTCTCTCATCGATGTTTCTGACTCTCTATCTCTCTCCCTTCCTCTCTGTAAAAAATCAATAAAATATATTAAAAAAAAAAATCTGTATTATGCTGGTGTGGCACAGGGCATATGACCAGGTTGTGGCTTGATTGCCAGTGTGAGGTGTGCAGGAGGCAGCTGATCAATGATGCTCTCTCATCATTGATGTTTTCTCTCTTTCTCTCCCTTCCTCTCTGAAATAAAAAAATATATATTTTGAAAAAGTATCTGTAGTAGTCCAGAAAAGAATAAGGACCCCTACTCTTATTTTAGTCCTCAGTAGTGGCAGTTTTTGGTTCTGTGCTTCTACTAAATGTATTCACATTTCTATTTTATTTTTTTTTTTAAGAGAGTTATTCTTTTTTTTAATATATTTTATTGATTTTTTTACAGAGAGGAAGGGAGAGAGATAGGAAGTTAGAAACATCGATGAGAGAGAGACATCGATCAGCTGCCTCCTGCACATCCCCTACTGGGGATGTGCCCGCCACCCAGGTACATGCCCTTGACTGGAATCGAACCTGGGACTTTTCAGTCCGCAGGCCGACGCTCCATCCACCGAGCCAAACCGGTTGCGGCGACAAACATATTCTTGACCAACGGTTAAAGGAAAAAACCTTACTTGGGGTGTTTTTTTTTTTTTTTTAAATGCT